ACACCTTTAATCCCAGCACTCAGGAGGCAGAGGCAGGTGAATCTCTGAGTTTGAGGCCACTCTGAATCCCAGAGCGAGTTTCAGGACATCCAGGGCTACACAGAGAAACCCTGTCTTGAAAAGCACAACAAAAAAATATTGGTTTCAGTCATTGTTCTTTATTTGTTGTTGTTGTTTATTATATTTATTATAGTTTGCAGTGCTGGGCAATAGAAACCAGGGCTCTAAACATGACAGTGAAATGTTCTACCACTGAACTATATCCCTGAGCATTTTTTTAAAATAGTGAAATAGTGAAAAAAAATAGAGAAGGAAGGAATACATTGCTTACATTGATCCTACACTGGTTGTAGGTAAAGGGTGGGGTGAGGCACAACAACGCAGTGAACAGAAGGGCCACAAGGAGACATCACCCTTGCTTCTGGATTGGCTGTGTTTGTCAACAGGGTACAGAAGCACCAAGAAAAGGAATTGAGTTAAGACTTTAACATGCATTATAGACTGTGCGTTGGTGTTTTGACAGCAGCGGGGAGTTTGGTAACAGACCGACGTCCCATTTCTCATCCGCTCTAGCCTCAAGATCTTGTAATTAAATTTAGGACATCTTAGAAATGTTATCGTCGGCATCCCCTGGGGATGGACCCTACACCCTCTGTGGATAAAGGGAGACTATTGTACTTGCCTCAGTGTCTTCTTTTCCCTTCATCTTGATCATAATGTGATCAGTTAGGATGATTTTGGTAGCCTTTTGTGGGCTGAGTTGACACATCTACAGGTGATCTCCATTATAAAATCCTTATTGGAATCTATTTGATCAGTTGTAGCCCTGCCCCCACCAGGTGACTCCCATGTTGGCCCCACCCCTTTCACCACCAGCCTAGGCTGAGCCCAGAGCTATCTTGAGAAACTCACTGAGTCCTAGTCCATCAAGATCCAGAGATTGTAATACATCACCTGGATGGGACCCACCTTTATGAGTCAGCTTCATTAGCCTGTTTTTATGGAAGTCCAACCCATCACACTATCTTAGAGACCTTAGGCTAAGACGCTTCCTGTTCCTCTAGCTCAGAGAGTCTTGTTTCTTTTCTCCCAGGGCTTTGCTCATCTGTCCCTATCCAGAATTCTTTCTGCTCCTGACAAGTGACTACTTTTCATTTTCCTCTTCAGGAACACCCTACCCCATCCCAACAGTCTTGTGATATCATTTTAATTTCAAACCTTTATTTCAGGGTTTCTCTGTGTAGCTTTGTTGCCTGTCCTGGAACTTGCTCAAACTCACAGAGATCCACCTGCCTCCCGAATGCAGTGATTAAAAATGCATGCCACTGCCCAGATGACTATTTTCTTCTGTCCCATCACCAGAGCAGCAGCTTTCTCTCTGTCTCTCTGCTATTCCCTCCCTCCCTCTGCGTGTGTGGTGGGGGTTGGGGACATTTCCTTTTCCAGTCTGGAGTCTGAGTCTCACAACACTGGGCAAGTGCTCTACCACTGAGCTACACCCCCAGTTCTGTTCTGTGTTCACCTTTGCTACGGGAAGGTAAAGCCTCTCTTGAGCCAGGCTTGATGGGTAGTACAGGTTTAATCACAACTATTTGGGAGGCTAAGGCAGAGGGATGCCAAGTTCAAAACCTTTCTAGACTACCAGGTGAGTTCAAGGCTATCCTAGGCAACTTGGCACAATTGTGCCTCAAAAGAAAGAAAGAAAGAAAGAAAGAAAGAAAGAAAGAAAGAAAGGGCTAGGTGTGTAGCTTTTTAGTATAACTTATATTTGATACTTGCCAGAGCTTTCACATTGTAAAGGCAAGATATATGTATTGTTTATCATTGCCAGCGGTACTATGCATTGGTATGATTTATCTAAGTATAAATTTGGCAATGTGCATCAAGAACTTTTGCAGTGCTTTGGGGGAGATAGCTACGCCAGCAGAGTGCTTTCCTGGCAAGCACGGGGTCCTGAGTTTGGCCCTCAAACCTATTTAAAAATGCCAGGCATGGGGCCGTCACACGTGCTTGTAATCTCTGTTTGGCAGGGTGGAGACAGGTAAATATCCAGGGAAGGAAGATTTCCTTTCTGGCGAAGGAAGCTCATTACTAGCTTGCTGGTGAGCTCCAGCCCGGTGACGGGGCCTGCCTCAAAGAGAATGAGTGGATTCCAGACAATGACACTGAAATAGTCCTCCGGCTTCCACATACATGTGCACATAAGTACCTGCGCACAGACACACACACACACTGAAACTAAGAAAAAATTAATGCTTTTAATTCCCTAATTTAATTTAATTTAGTTTTGTTTTGAGACAGGGGTTCTCTGAAGCTTTGGAGCATGTCCTGGAACTAGCTCTTGTAGACCAGGCTGGCCTCGAAATCACAGAGATTCATCTGCCTCTGCCTCCCAAGTGGTGGGATTAAAGGTATGTGTCACCACCTTCCGGCTCCTAATTTAATTTTTGAGAAATACATAAAAAAATTAATCAGAGATACTGCCAAGAGATTTAAAGACAAGATGCAGACTTTTAAAGAAAAAAGACAGAAATAAATGAACATCTACTTCAAATTTAAATACTTTCCCTCTTGATCCTACCACGTTAAATATTAGACTTTGTATCACAGAGCTTGCTGTTTCCCACCAGCCCTGGCAGAGCTGAGAGTTGCCAGTCTCTCAGCCACAAGCACTCAGGTGGTCTGGCAGAAAACAAAGGAAGACAGGTGACACCTAGACAGCTTGAGCTGCCTTTCAGGGCTAGGACGAGGTCTTCCTCACCCTGTCCCTAACCCTGGAGAGGGTTTCTAGTTCACTGAATTACTGACAGAGATTAACTCTGTAATAATTGCTACTGTAACTAAAAATTAAAAACCACGAGGGAGGAAGGCAACATTGTTGTAGCTTGACGCACAATACACAATGGACATTTCAATCTATTTATATAAACCTCAGTGATGAGCCCTGTGCTCAAATTCCTTTCCAGGGAGGGATACATAGCAACTTCTACCCCTCCTCTTAAGGTTACAGTGGCAAACTTAAGTATGATTCCACCCAAGTTCACTCTGAGGAACCAATGGTTTTATTGGGCTTCCTTATAGTTCATAGATAGGGGGTTAGCTACAGGAGTGTGGCTGCACTCGAAAGTCCTTACTCAACAGGAATGATGCCTGGCTCACAGTCACATAGATGGAAATCCATAGTCTTCCCTGGCCCATATACTCTAGTCTTCCTGCTGAGCCCACAAGCCTCCATGCAATTAGAGTTGCAGGTGCGGATGGTAGGGAACAGCTGGGTACTCTGGGGAGGGTCCTGTGACCCTCCCTGCCCCTCTGTGAGGGGATGTAAACAGTCAACAAGCCCAGGTGGCATGATCTTAGCAACCTGCACATCTGAAACTCCTGAAGAAGGGGCTATTGGGCTCAGAGGACAGTCACAAACAGTAGCCCTCACTTCTTTCAAGTTCCTAAGTGTGTCCCCTGAGCACACATGGCCCTAGGTTTCCGATTGCCTTTTCCAGAGCTGTGGCCCACAGCCGGCAGCAAGAGCAGCAGATACCGCACTCCGCTGGAAGTGAGCACCATCAGTTCCATCAAATTAGCATGTGATAGAGAGGTTGGGAAACCAGCTCTCTCTAATGTGCTGCTGAGAAAGGAATCCTGATGGAGGGACGGTGATGAAAGAGTTCAGAAGGAAAGTTCCACACTCCCAGATTGTCCATGGGTAAATGAGAGCAAGAACAAAACCACTGTGAGTGCCAAAGTTACATCTTGAGTTTTAGTTACTATACCTAAGAGAGCCATGAAACCAAAAAATGCCTCTAATCTGACAGCCCCTTGCCCAAAGCTGATGTTTATGGGAGATGACAAGACACATGTTGTCACTCCTAAACAAGCTTGTTTGACCCAGCTGCACCAGATGTGCTTAATCATGTGGGCCCGAGGTTCACAGGCAGGAAACGCACCAGGATGTATGCTTGCCCCTGATAGGACCTGATGGGAAATACTCAATCCACTGCAAAACTTGACTCAGGGCCATTTTTTTCTTCTGGGAAACCAGAGATGGACCTGGTCAGAGTCAAGCTACCTGGCCAGTATTTAATTAAAGCTTGCTTCAAATTTGACTTTAAACTATGGTAGTGGTTTTAGGGATTAACACCGCCCACCCAACCCAACAAATGCAACCAACAACAAATCCAAAATCAAAATGGAAATCACATTTTATCTTCTTGTGTCCTGTGTGCTGCATTCTGGAAACACCCTCGAATTATAATACCACAATGACACTTGGCTTTATAAAATGTCTTTTACTTAAAAACAAGGTATCACTGGGTCTTTCAACATAGTTATACGTCTCACACATAAACACACCTAACAGTCACAGCACAAAAACACGACTGACATAACATGATCACTGGCGAGTGCATGGCAATGTTTCACCAGAAATAAATATCACTATTTAAGTCACAGGTACCCTCCGCTGATTTTAAATTCCAGTAAGCAAAAAGTGTGTTGGGTAGATTTAGGAGGGTTTGTTAGGCCTCTATGAGGTTAAGAAAGTGAGGCCTAAGAAAAGTGTGGTGGTGGCGCACACCTTTAATCCCAGCACTCAGGAGGCAGAGGCGGGTGAATCTCTGAGTTCGAGACCAGCCTGGTCTAGATAGTGAGTTCCAGGATAACCAGGGCTACACAGAGAAATCCTGTCTCAAACAACAACAACAACAAAAAAGAAAGACAAGAAAGTGAGACTTGAGGAATCATATCCTAGCCTAAGGCAGATCCAGCACACACCTTGACCATACAAAGTTATTTAACACAGTGAGTCTTATATACATATAAATACATTCTTCCCTGTGCTGCTATCTGCATTTCACATAATTTAAAATAAGGAGGCAGACATAGAGACAAAAATTCTATATAAACAGTTAAATCTCAGCTTTAAAATACAAAACATAATGTATGCTTCATACAGTTTTCTGTAGGAAAGTCCCTCTTGTATGGGATTTGACAGCATTCACATTGTGCAGAAGCCTCCTAGGGAGTAGCCAGACATGAAGAAGAACATCTCTGACATGCCTCTGGGAGATCAGTGAGCGACATGATCTCAATAATACATGTTCTTATCCCACCAGCCTGTGGAGGTAGAGAAGGGTAAATCAGAAATAGCCTGTGGGAGGTGGTATACAAGCTGATATAAGCATCATCAGTCATGGGGGTACACTTCATTGACCAGGGGCTTGCCCTGCACAGCTGGTCTGGTTTCCAGCTCAGCAAAACAAAAACGTAATTCATTTTCCTCAATACTCACTTCCAGGGTAGAGCCTGATGAAAAGTTTTCGCATCTCGTCATACACCCAAATCAAAATGGCATGCGGCACAGCCACAAACCAGTACTGAGCCCTGCAAACAAAAGGAGGAAAGTGAGCCTTGGCTTGTCTGAGGAGATAACCCAGACCCTGGCCAATAGCGGACTTAGGGGCGGGGGCTTTCTCTTAATTTTCCTTGCCTCACTGGAAATAGCAAATATGCTACATCACACAAGACAGGTCTTACTTAACCCAAGATGGGACTGCTAAAAGCAGCATTGGCCTTTGAGGATCCCTGTTGGATGAGAGTGGCAATGGTCCAGTTAGGCCTGGAGAATGCTTTTTTTTTCTCTTTGGGAAATAGGAAGGTCAAGGGATGGGTTCCCATAGCTTGGGGGTCGATTTAATCTCTTTGGGAAGATTGGAGAAAGAGCCCATGGGAACCCTTGCGTTTATTCAGATTGTGATAGCTCAAAGCAGAAGCTGGTGTCCTACGTAATCCCACTGAAGGGCAACTCACCTGAGCGTGGTGAAACTCAGGGCTGTGACACTCCCGAGACCGTAGGACAGGATCAGTGCCACAATGATCTGCGAGGCGATCCCCACCCAGATGACTTTATTTCTGGAAAACACATGGAAGCAAACAGATGTGGAATTTCCATGTGTCTGTGGTCATGTACCCAGAAGACTGTGCCACAGTTAGGTCAGACATGGAGGTACCTGAAGAGCCCCTGCTGGAAGATAGAATTCCTCCGGGTTTTCCTGATGATCAGATCTGCAATTTGTTGGATCATGATGGCAACAAAGAAAGCCGTATAACCTGTGTATTCTAGGTATTTTCTCTGATACCTTGTCTGTCAAGAGGTAGAGACGGATGAGACCATGAAAACTTTCCCAGAGGAAAACTGAAATCTGACCCTCTTTCCCCACTTCACCCAGATTCAGCGTAGACTGTCTCCTTGTGTTCAGAGAGACATTCTCTTTAAATAGTCGGTAGGGGAAAGATACTAGCTTATGCTACCCCATTGTGGGAGTATCTACACACCGACTGCCGAACTAATGCAAAGTGAATTTGAGAGACGAGGTGTCTTCCCCAAAGACCCCATTGTCACCAGAGGTCTTCCAGACTTATTAACCGAGTAGCATCCAAGGCTGTCTCATCAAGACCATTCACGGGAGTGGGGGTTCAATGGCAGGATGGGTGGGCAGTGAGAAGAGAGGAGGGCCAGGTGGTGGAAGGACTCTTGACTCACCCATTCCTGCCCGTAGCTATCTTCCAAGTCATTTATATCATCTGTTTCCCATGCTACCCTCAGGTTGATGAGAGAGGTGGGCCAAAAGCCCTGCTGTGCATAGACAGTGAAATAGACGAGGAAAGCGCCCAGGGCTTGCATGAGACCTGAAAAAGTCAAAGATCCAGATGTGAGTGCTGTGTTGGGCCCAGAGGGCCGCCTTGTTCTAGTGCTCTTCTGAGCCGTCCTCCTCCCCTGCCTAGGACTGGAATGTGTTATTTGGGAGGGCTCTTGTGTAATGAGCCATGGGTAGGGGGATGGCCAACGATGATACACCCTCCTCATACCAATGTGCAGGTAAGAGTAGATAGCAAGCTGCTGGTTCACCAATCTGTCTTTCTTCTTGTGGCGAGGTTTCCTATTCATGATGTCACTTTCAGCTTTTTCATAGGCCAAGGCAATGGAGGGAATCTAGAGAAGGAAAAACCACCATGGAACGGAACTCTGGAAAGAGAGTGATAGTGAACAAGGGGGGACCAGAGGTGGGAGTAAGTGGGTGATAGAGATGGGGAATGGGGGTGCATTCAGAGTGCAGGTAACAAGGGTGCATTGCCTACATGGGATTTACAAGCCTCCATCTTTAAAAATCAGTCTGTGTTTTGGGGCTGAGGGTGTGGTCAGTGGCACCATGATGCTAACTAGAAGCACAAGCGAGGCCTTGGGTTAAAAAAAAAAGTCTATCTGCTTTTTAAAACCACCTGGCAATTCTAGATAGAGCCAGTTATAACATAAAACGTCGTCCTTCCCCTTTGGCATGTGTCCAGACCACAAAGCAATGTGGCAGAATAGTGGTGCTCTCACAGGTCCTATCACTAAGAAATCCCTTAAAAGACAGACTATCCCCACATCCAGATGTTCCGATGCAGAGGTATGGGCTTGGCTAGAGAATTATATTTCAAACCTAGCCCACGCTTGGAGAATCACTGTAGGCTGAGAAAATGAGCAAATGTAGAAGGGCTTGGGATGTTGGAATACGGATGCATTCTCTTTTAGGAAGGTTATTTCAGTTCTCCCTTCAAAGACAAAAATCTTTTATTTTCCTCATAAAGCAGGGATCAGATCTAGGTACTATATAGACGTAGGGAGTGAGGCCATGGCCAGGGCCGCCTTGGACTGTGACTTTGACTTGCCCTCTGTTGCTTTTCTTTTCCTCCTTGGCCTGGATAAGCCAGAGTCATATGGGGGCTTTTGTGAAGCTTTTTTTTTAAAAAAATGGATACAGGCTGTAAGAGGGGAGTCTTAGATGAATGACTGTTGGAAATAACAACAAAACTCTGAAAATGCCGGATAAAGAGACTCAATATATCCCTGCAAGAGCCCCAACCAAACAACAGCAAAAACCAAGTCCACTATTTCATTGTGTATCTAGTGAGGCCCTTCCAGTTCACTGTCCTCTAACTTAGCATGGGGTGACTGTGGGCTGTCACCTCAAGGTACTTCCTCTTCCCCAGAGTATTATTGTGTGATTGCTTCTCCAAACCATAGGAGTTGAATCTGATGAAGGCATATTCTTTGAGAGAGCCAAAACCATGTCTTTAAAAGAATAAAAAATCAGTACTGGAGATCAAGCCCACTGAGCTCTATCCTTAGCCCTGATTCTTATCTTAAAAGTCTTATTCTGGAATGAAATAATTTTCATTTCCAAACACTTGACAGATATCTCTAGTCTATTGCTGGGAAACATGGCCTGTGGACCCACAGAATAAGGGTCACGTGGAAGCTCACTAAAGATGGAGAAATGGCCCCATGGCACAGTCGTATGAGAAGCATTGATTTTGTTCATCATGTGGCTCTTGGAGGCAACAGGTATGATCTTTATATCCCCGGGGTTATTACCAGGTCTTTTAGTACCACTTACAATGTCTGTGCCCAGGTCGATGAATAGGATCGTAATGGTGCCAATGGGCAGGGGAAGCCCAGCAACGATGTAGATCAAAAAGGGGCAGAGCTCAGCGATGTTCTTGGTCAGGGTATAGGCGATGGTTTTCTTCAGATTGTCAAAGATCAGGCGACCTGGGGAAGATGTGTCTCTTTATAGGACTTGCTGCTAGTCCCCCAGGCAACCTGGCTATCAGGATAGCACCCTGAAACCTTACTCACCTTCCTCCACCCCTGTGACTATAGACGCAAAGTTGTCGTCTAGCAAGACCATGTCCGCTGCATTTTTAGCTGCGTCAGAACCTGCTATGCCCATAGCAATCCCGATGTCTGCCTTCTTGAGGGCTGGAGAGTCATTCACACCGTCACCTGTCACAGCTACAACCGCATCCTGTGGGGACCCGGTGAGAAAACAAGAGTGAGGCAAGTGAGGAGACTCGGGTCCACCAGGAAGCACACCCTACACCTTTTGTCTTGAGGCTGGAGAACTACTGGAGCCAAAATGAAGGTCTCTTTGGGAAGGAAAGATAAAGATGGACAATCTTAGAAACTCAGAAACACAGACTATGCAAATGAAGAAATAAAACAAAATCTCCAGCACGCATGCCCAAACAAAGAGGTGTTTCACAGGGTCAGCCTTACATATTGAGGGGTTCTGAATTGGGTGGCACAGATCCAACCACCCAAATTTAGAAAATTTTTGAAGAACAAAACCAAACCGGCTGTGGTAGCATATGCTTGCTTATGCTTACACTGCATGAGAAGTCGAGGCAGGAAGATTGTGAGTTTGAAGCCAGCCTGGGATACACAGGGAAACCTTGACTCAATAAACAAAAGGAGAAAGAGAGACAGAGAGACAGACATACAGACAGAGACAAAAAGGGGAAATATTGGAAAAAGAAAACTGCCTGCATAGTGAACATGCACAGATTTTCTTGACATTATTTCCTCCAAGCAATATGGACTATCTGGTGTTTATGCAGCATTGACATTATACTAGATACTATGAATCATCTGAAGATGATTTAAAATACATGGAATGTGGGTACACTCTATACAAATATTAGTTAATTTTATAAATACAACTTGAGCAATGGTGTGTTTTGTACTTGTAGGAGTTCCAGAAACGACTCCCCCGTAGTTATGAAGGAAGGACCATTTCTTACATCTCACTTCTTTTGTTATATATATTTACATTTAGAAAATCTCTCTATATCTGTATTCTACCACAGCGGCAAGTGCTTGAGTGGCTTCTCGATCAGAGCCAATGTTCTTGTGATATAGTAAAGAAAGAGAGACTGCATGGCTATGGGATGATCTCAGAGGCGAAAAGAACGCCAGTCCTCCCGATATCGGCGCCACACTTCCCAGTGGGGTAGCCAGGCCTTTCCAGTCATCTGGGAGCTGCTGCTGACATACCTGCCTCTGACAGCCCTCCACGATGATCAGCTTCTGCTGGGGCGATGTCCGGGCGAATACGATTTCTTGGTAGTTGGTTAAAAGGTCATCCAGTTGTTCTGGGGTCATGTCCTTCAGTTCCATGCCTGTCACCACAGCGGCTTTTGCTTCTCTAGGAAGGCCAGAAGAGACAGGGTGAAGCCAAAGCCCAGCTCTTGTGTTGAAACCCAGTTCTGTGCATGGTTTCTGTTTTTCTAAAACAGGAGACCATTTCCTATTATTCTATAATAATGGGAATAAATGTCAACTAGTCTTTTCCTTCTAGAAATGGGTGAGAAATGGTGATTCCCTGCGGCAATGCTTTACTACACAAGGAAGAGCAGAAAATTGCCTCTTTGGGATGAGTGCAGAGCTCAGAAATGAAGAGCTTGCTGAAGTAACCACCAAGCCCTGGGTCTGCTTGCCAGCAACACAGAACAAACACACACAAACCCTGTTCTTATGTTCTGGTGTCTAGACTCCCCTTATGCCTATACGCATAGATAAGGTGCCCTTTTGTTGTTTCGGGTTTATAGAAGCCCACTGTGTACAGTGTGCTAAGTTGGGAGAATAGTTTACTGAAGTCTTGGAACACAACCGTTACCCACTGACTATAAAAATGAGGTTCTTGGGCCATGGTTCATAACCTTCCTAATGCTGAAACCCTTTAATACAGTTCCTCATGTTGTGGTGACCGTCCCCCCTCAACTGTTACTTCATAACTCTAATTTTGCTACTGCTATGGATGATAATGTAAATAGCTGTGCTTTCTGGTGGCCTTAGGTGACCCCTGTGAAAGGGTCATTCAAGCCCCAGTTTGAGAATTGTTGCTCCGGGGGCTCTTGATTATACAGACAAAATGTGCTACTCCTCTGATGAACTCTTCTTCAGAGTCCTAGCTAGTCCCTGAGCAGACCCCAGGATCCCTTATTGGCTTGCCAATAAGGCCAAGTGCAGCCTTGAAGGTCAAATGTGGCAGACAAGGTCAAGTACAGTTTGAGCTGTTAACCTTCCTAGCATCTTGGGTTCTCCTCTCGCACCCACCGGCCTCTTTGGGTTCTGAGGTGCTAATGCTTCCACTACCTTAAGGTCTCTATGCTTGTCTCCCTTTCCAGGAATGGGCGTTTCTCACTTGGGCATCCCTTAACTAATACTTCATGTTTTAGCCTTCGAATCTCAGCTTACGTAAGGTAGAAACAAAACATTGCATGCCTTATTTTTTTATGTCTTGTAAGTTTGCAGTTTTTCACATTTGTTTTTCTTGTTGATAACAAATACTAGAATTCTAGCTCTTTGGTAGCACAAATTGAACTCAACATTAAAGGACAAGAAGATGAAAGAGGATGTGGGGTAAATCTGGGAGGAGTTAGGGGACAGGGAAGCAAATATGCCTCAAAATACATTGTATGCACATTCTCAAAGAACTAATGAAAATGTATTTTCAAAAAGTATATCAAGGCAAGATAAGAAGGAAGAGTATTTCCTTGCTTCCTACAGCTGCTCGAATGTGTGGATATGGAGCCAGAGCTGACGAAGTGGATAAATAAAAATATTGACAAAAATGTCACTTGTGCTGGGGATGTCATGTGGCTTTGTGACAGAGCACTAGTCTAGGTCTGACAAAGTAAACAAACCAATAAACAAATAATCCATTTCCCTCCTGGTCAGTGTTGTGACTGCCATAAAAATGTCGGCCGCTTACTGACTGTTCTAAAGAAATAAACAGGCCCCATCCCAGTTTTGGCAGAGGGCTGTTTATTTATACAAAGGAGTGATGGCAAGGCTTGGTTTTGGGCAATTGTTGCTGTGCCCAGAGGCTGTCACTGTTGTATCCTACCTAGTAATTATTATCACCTGGCAGCTGTGTGTTCCTACCAGACCTAAGTGCCTAGGTAATGTAAGTCATTGTTCTTTCCTTTCTCCCTGATGCATGAAAGATGGTCCAACTGGTGACATTTTATTTGACCCACCGCTCTGAAGTCTTTGACTCATTATGCTATTCCAGGTCTAGGCAGCTCCTTCCCTGTGAGTCTCCTCATTAAACCACTCTCCATGTCCACCCCCCCCCCGCTTGACCCCCCTCTCCTTGCCTAGATGGAAAGTTTCTCACTGGTGGGACAGTGTTCTAGTGTCTGGCATATAGCCTGAAGGCAACAACTAAGTGTTGAAAGAATTAATCGATAAGTGAATAAATGAATGGATGAGCAGAAGACAGACATGATTGACAGAATAAAGCTTCCATTCTGACAAGTAGAAAAGCACAGTATGTTTGCATGGCTACATGTTATGAAGTCAACTGAACATGCAAATAAATACCTAAGGTGTATGAAACCAGGATTCTCAGTATCCTTAATCCTACAGCTGGATCAATAGCAAGTGATTTCATCTGCTCTTTGTTTTTCTCTTCTAAGCTGAGGCATAAAGTTTGCAGATCTCTGTCCTGTGCTGTACAATATTTTAAGTCAATGATGCAGGACCCATAAGATCATCTTTCCTAGTGATGCTATCCTAATTTCTTTGGACACACTCTTGGATATTCAGCAACAATAAAATTAACATTTTATACAGGGCATTGCTTATTGTTAAGCTACACCCAACTTTACTTCATTGAATTTTGAAATACCAGACAATGCAGTGCTTGTCATGAACCAGATACTCAATAAAATTTTCAATGAACGAATGAATGTAAACTATAAATCAGACAACATAGCTCTACCCTGAGAGGGCATTAGTCAAAAGGGTAATTTTATCCCACTAGCAAAACTCTTTAGAGTCAGCAGGGCCCAGTGGGTAAGAACTTGACTTTCTGCTCCGTTGGTTCTGTGGTTACCTTTTGTTGACTTGCTCCACAGCAATACCGCGGCGTTTTGCGATGTCTTCCACTGTCTCATTGTTGGCTGATATGATTCCTACGCTCTTGGCAATGGCTTTGGCCGTGATAGGATGATCACCTGTAACCATAATAACCTAGGACACAGAACCCAGAAACTCGTGGGTAATGGCTTTGCTGGTTAAGTAGGGGTTATAGGTCATATTTACTAAGATACTGCCTGCTCTCAAAGGACCTAGAGAGTGCTGTGGTTTTGCTCATGAGAAATTCTGGATCTCAGACGCCACTGTTTCTAAAGAAGGCACTGGTCCTGTCTGGACTCCCTTCTGCCCAGGCTTCTTTCATATTGCCCCTGATGCCAGAAGAAGCCTTCCCGTTTGTTAGGATTTCCTTTGTGAAAGGGTCTATAGGCGTCTCCTAGAGACAGTCTTGTGCTACTTTAACAGTCTTTCTTAATGCTAACACAGTAATAAAATTCATATTTAACTTCCATATCATGAAGATAAATGAATTATTAATAAAATTCATATGTAACTTCTATATCATGGAGGCAAATGGATTATGGAAAATAAAGTATTAAAACCCTTTATTATCTATCATAGTCCAGGACAATATAAGGTCTAATTCACGGCACTGGCAAGTTCTTCTCTCTGTAGGTACTGCATTGGTTCATCCCCACAGACACTGTCTTGCTTTTTGAGGACAGTTACCGAGATCTTAGCAGAGTGAAGGAAGAGGTCCAAGTTGAGAATTACAATGCCCACTTGAAGAGAACTAAAGACTCCCATGGTAATTTTTTCTTAGAAAGGGATATGATATATAGATAGAGAGGAAAAGAACACTCACCTTGATCCCTGCACTCCGACACTTGGTGACCGCATCTGGGACGGTGGACCGAGGGGGATCGATCATGGACAGCAGCCCCACAAAGCAGAGGTTGGAAGTGGGAAAGTTTACAGTGTCTACATCAAATGGGTAGGTTTGGGGAAACTCATCTGCTGGCAGGTAGAGGTGGCAGAAACCTGGAAGGGGCAATCATGTTGGAGTTAGTGAAACCAGGATTAAGTATGACAGAGGATGAAGAGTTGGGGGGGGTTGTTGTGTGGTTTGGTGGTGGAGGACATGTTTAGCATGTGTGAGCCGCTGGGTCTGAGCCAAAAGCAGGAAGGAGATGACATGATGACACACACTCAGTCCTTTACTATTTTACCAACATATAGTGTGTACCAACAGTTGTTTAATCCCTTCAATTCCATAATGCATGTTTTTAAAGAAACACCTACTTCATCCAGTTCCATCCAAAAGTAATGTCCTGTGTGCCTGTCAGGTGTTCTATGCTGTGCTCTAGAGATGTAACATCCAAGATAAGTCCAGTAAGACATGCTTTGTTTCTGAAGATGTCTCCGGTTAGCGGTGAGACTAACAACTGAAGACATTAAACATGGCATGAACCGTAGCATAGAGCTACACGTCAGAACAGAGCATGGATGTTTTCTAAAGAAGGAAGGCTGGAGTGAGGAAACCATTTCAGGAAAATAAACAAGCACTTAGAAAGAAACAACCCTGGGTCTTTGGGGGAGTGGTAGAAAATTCAGCCTTAATTAAGCTAAGACTAGGAGTAACCGGGTAGAACCATCCTTTTCTCTGGGGCAGAGGTCAAAGGCATTCCTGTGTTTGATAGAACTCCCAGATCACGTGACTTGCATCAGTTTTTACAGTAAATAATCGTCACCAAGGCTCACTGCTTCCTACGCCTCACTAACCAGGCCTAGAGGTCAAACAGGAGGTTCCTAGAGTGACTTTGGTCAGTTGGGGGCCAATCTTTCTTTGAAAAGATTGCTTGGTGCTGTGGGTTATGTAGGGTGTGTTTAAATCATTAGCATCTCATTTACACATTTTATCTACTGTACAAACTCAAATATCCTGTGGAAACACACATTCTACAGATTCCGAGGCAAGTGGCAAGCACTTTTATGGTGTTTAACGAACCTTATCATCAACCCTGGGCTGTGAATTCCTGGTTCTGCACTTCTGAATAGGTGCCATTCAGTCAACCCATGCTTCTGATAGTGGAACACACTGCCCATCACACCACTTCAGTGGTGGAATTGCTAAAGTTCCTTCCACGTCCAATATTCCCCGTCTCAGTTCCTTTGTTACCTTTCCCCTACTCATAAACTGAGATAAGTAAACATTCCTGAAGTCACCATTCCTTTCTAAGGAGTTGCTGAGTCTTATCTGCTGGCTCACAAAGCACCATCACCTGACCCTTCTTCATGCTCCCACCACCTGGCTTGTATCAAATACCTACCCCTCCCTTGTTCTGTGAAATGAAAGCAGCCACCTCTTAAGGAGCCCAGTGTCTCTCCTCTTGCTGCTTCCAGCAAGGATGACTCACAACCAACCCTGGCTGTGACTGACCCGCTCACCGTTGTGACAAAGCTTTCAGTACTCCCCCTAACCGGAACACAAAACTCCAGGTCCTCGCCACGTATTTAAGAACTCTTCGTGATGGCCCCAATCTCTTTCCCTAATTCTGTTTCCTGCACCTCCTCCCTCTCATCCATCCTGCAGCATTGCATGGACCACTGGCTTCACTGTGTGCATAAAGAGATCCCGTTCTTCCTCCTCTTAGCCTTTGCAGCTGTCTCCCGTGGACTCTTTCCCCTCCTTCCACCCGAATACTGCCACTCAAGGCCCAATTTAAAATGTGACTTCTCTGAAGTCCCTGACTATGTCTGGAATGAACCCCATTCTTCCCAGTGAAATCTTACAGCAATCTTTTACATGTTTCTCTCTTGTTTATGTGTTTTTCTTTTTTCCTCACTGCTGGGGATTGAACCCACGACCTCACACATGTTAGGCAAATGCAGCACCACTGAACTACACTCCAGCCCCTCATATTCTTTATATGATCCCTGTGTTGCCATGGCTACTCTGCTGGTTAATGGGAGTTCTTCATGCCTCTCAGGAGATGAACACAGATGTTCTACCATGCTCACCCAACACACGCTCGCCCAGGCCTCCTAGCTCCATGTAGGCTGTGTGGAAGGCGTCGGCAGAGCTCTTGTCCAGTGGCTGCTCCTGGCCATTGATCATGATGGTGCTGCACTTCTCTAAGATCCTCTCCGGGGCTCCCTTCATCACCATGAGGAAGCGCTTGTCGTTAGGGTCCTCTGTCTCATGTATGGAGAGCTGGGAGGGCATGGATTGGGCCAGTTAGATATGGCATCTTTGCTGTGGTTCCTCCAGTTAACAATAGGACAGGCAGGCAAAACATTTTCTTTCTTTCAATTTGCCCTCCGAGGGTAAAAGCAGAGGAAGAATCATGGCACCCCCAGCATGGCCATCCTTTGGCATTTGTAACTAATTAAAAAGCTAACACCTAGATTTGGGTGACTCAGAGGGGTATGCTGAGCTGGAACCCACACTTGGGTACAGCTTGCATTTCAAACAGACACTAGCTCTTTAAGGCCCTTTGAGGAGGCCTGATGCACCCCTCAGCCGAAGAACGTATGGACAGAGGTATTGTGAGAGTTCTTGTCTCACTTCTCCCTGCTAGTGGTGAGGAGCCATCTTTTGTATGTGCACACACATATGAATATGTCTGGGTGCATATGTGTGTTCAGGTGTACATACCTATGTGTGTCTGACAGTCATGTGTGAATGTGTGTGTGTGTGTGTGTGTGTGTGTGTGTGTGTGTGTGTGTATAAAAGGTAGAGAACAAACTAGGGTCTTGTTCCTTGGTGCCATCCACCTTGTTTTTTGAGGGTCCATTGACTTGGAGTTTGCCCATTGGCCAGACTGGTTGGCCAGTAAATTCCAGAGATTTGTCTGACTCTGACTCCCCGATCCAGCTTTTGCACCTGAGTTCTGTACATCAAAGTCAGGTCCTTGTGTTTGCCAGGCAAGTGCTTTGCTCACTAAGACATCTCCCCAGCCTTGAGCATCCACTTGCAGATGCTGAGCTGTCAAGGCCAGGAGGAATTCCTGTGCCTCTCTGTCTCAGGATGGATCTAGCTTTACTCTCTGGACATAAGGGAAAACAGTGGAAATTCGAAGAGGAAGAAGGAACGATTACAAGTAGCCTTTAGAAGCCAGTGATGCTTCAGAGTTCACAAGTTTAACACAAATATTCTTGATCCAGCAAGCCTACTTCTAGAAACATCCTGTTAAGATAATCAGCCTAATAAAATATGTATACATCATAGTATATAATAATCAAATGGTTAAATCTGCACATTATGTGGGCACTACCCAGAGTCAGACAGACAAGCAGACACACCCACTTGTACCTCAGCACATAAAATAATTTCAGAGAGACTTGGTATCTGTCTGTCTATCTATCTATCTATCTATCTATCTATCTATCTATCTATCATGCTGTGAATTAAACCCAGGGCTTTGTAAATTCTAGGCAAGCACTCTACCATTGAGTCAGATGTTCAAGGACAGGAAGATTTTGAAATCTTTTTGGAGAAAATAAGATATAAAGAAAATTGCCACTGCTTTGGGATTAGCAGTTGATTCCAAATCAATAGTTGCTAGACACTGAGTTATCAGAAATGTATATTATTTTTAAAAATGATAGAAAGAAAATAGGTTTGCCAGTTTCCTTTTCTTTTTCAGTGACCAAGAAAAGGCATAAAACCAACCAGTTCACTAACCAGAACTCAACCCAACTCAACCTAACCAAACCAAGGAGCTTCCTATTGGTTACTATTATTGCCTTCATTTTTTTGGACAGTAGGGCTGAGCTCAGTGGCTGAACTTGCCTAACACATATGAGACATCCCCCCCGCCCCCATAACACAATTCAATCCCCAGAACCACAAAGAAAAGCTCTAGACCCAGGTGTAGTGGCACATGTCCTGCTCACACAACGATGACATCATCTAGCATGTCTACACTTTACTGTAACACAAAGTCAAAGCCATACCCCTCAGCTCAGCATGGGATTCTGTAGGAAATCCCACTGGGCAGGCAACTTGTTGGCCTGAATTGAAGAGGATAGATATGATTGATGACTGGCCATTGATATAGTGGTTCAAAGCCACTAGGCAATGATGGCCATGTTCTTCCCGAGCAATGGGCAGAAAGGAGGACCCTAGCAATGGCATATAGAGCAGGAATAAAACCCAAAATAAAATAAAACACTTGACTGGTCCTCAGAAGGGCTTGTCTTCTTTCAGGGCAGTCTCAGGCACGCTTGCTTCATGTGGCATGTTTGACATTTCTGAATCGGTGCAGTAGACTCTGTAGATTCTAGAGACTGCCAAAACTGGCTGGTGCCACTTACACACTGTGAGACTGTGATCTCAACACATCCTAAGTGTTTTATTCTACTCCATAAATTGGATTCACTGGTCCTACCTTATAGATCAGTTATAAGGGTTAAATTAGATAAAGTAAATAAAGTGATTTATTTAGTTGGTTCTTAGGTCCTCAGGAGATTGGCTCCAGTGCACAAGAATATTAAAATATAATGTGTTCCTCATACCCAATATATTACAAGACATAGTGTTTACACAGGATGTAAGCACACTTTCCCACAATCCTTAAAGAATCTCTAGGCGACTTATACTTCTAACATGATATCAGTGCTATGTATTCAGAGAGTGTTCCAAGCCTCTTGCTCCCTCTCTCTGTGTGAGCTTGCATGTAGGATATGCACACTGTTCTTAGGAACAGAAGACCCCAAGAAGCTCTTTGCCTTTGTTTCTCTACCCTACTTACAAGTTTGGCTTTATATCTTTTCTTGGCTGTTAAAAGAAGAGGAAGAGCAGGAGAACAATGACAATGCCAACACTGGCAAACCTGACCTGAGTTTACCAAATGCTCACATACCTCGCACCCCGCCAAGGTCTTTTGAACCCAGGGGTGGTCTAGAATACAACGGATTGTGTAAGGAAAGGAAGAAAAACTCACCTGAAATTTGTTGGTAGAATTAAAGGGAATTTCGGCTACTTTGTGGTTCCTTTTTCTAATTTCCATCACATCACCCAAAACAACCTCTGAGAACTTTAGAAGAGCAGTTTCAGAGGCATCTCCGACCACAGTTCTCTGGGGATCAAAAGAGAGAAATGTTTACAGCTCATCACCTAGATCTTTGGAGCTATACATTTTTCTCTGCTCCCCTCCCTGCCTCTCCCCTCCCCTTCAACCCTCTCCCATGGTCTTCATTGCTCCTAATTTACTCAGATCTTGTCTTTTACTACTTCCCATGTAGATCAGATCCATGTATGTCTCTCTTAGGGTTCACTGTTGTGTAAGTTATCTGGGATTGTGGTTTGTAGGCTGATTTTCCTTACTTTATGTTTAAAAACCACGTATGAGTGAGTACATATGATAATTGTCTTTTTGGGTCTGGGTTACCTCACTCAATATGTTGTTTTCTAACTCCATCCATTTGCCTGCTAATTTTAAGATGTCATTATTTTTCTCTGTTATATAGTATTCCATTGTGTAAATGTACCACATTTTCCTTATCCATTCTTTGGTCGAAGAGGATTTAGGTTGTTTCCAGGTTCTGTCTATGATAAACAATGCTACTATGAACATAGTTGAGCCCATGTCCTTGTGGTATGATTGAGCATCCTTTGGATATATACACAAAAGTGGTATTACTGGGTCTTGAGGAAGGTTGTTTCCTAATTATCTGAAAAATTGCCATACAGACATCCAAAGTGGCTGTACCAGTTTGCACTCCCACCGGCAATGCAGAAGTGTTCCCTTTTCCCCACAACCTCTCTAGCATAAGTTGCCATCAGTGTTTTTGATCTTGGCCATTCTTAACAGGTGTAAGATGGAATCTCAAAGTTGTTTTGATTTGCATTTTTGAGACTGTTTTGGATGAACCAACAGGCTTTGACCAGTGGAAGAGACAAGGTCACAAGACTCTCAGTGACTGAGCCAGGACCATGGTAAGAACACAGACCAATGGTGCCACCTACAGGCACTAGGGAAGTCTGCGCTAGTGGGAGCTCTGTGGGGAATGGGGGCTTCCTGAGCTATGGCCTAGGTGAATAGGATACAGATGATCGGGGAGAAAAGGCCTTCTAGAAAGCAGATGCCAGGAGTGGAAGTACAGGTATGTATGGAAAGATATGGGGGTTCCTGAAAAGTATCTGTGGTCAAGATTCAAGTAGCAGAAAACAGGACCCACAACCAGTGTTTAAGGAAAATTGGTGGCAAATGAAAAGAATGGAGGGGAAGGGTAAAAGCTCGGAGGCCAGTGAGGAGTGGCTTGGAAATCGAGATGTGAGGTACCGATGATCATAGAAGCATGAGGTTGTGTGTATTTCAAACCAAGAATGGGAGGCCTTTGTGGCTCATTCGCTAGAAGAAAAATCAAGATAATTTCCCAAACCTTTGGCCCAAGGACAAGCAGAATGACTATGTCAACAGAACCATTTTGACAGCCTATTGACTGGAAGCCAGGCTGGGCACAGTGGATAGTGACAAGAGTGGCCTTATAATTTCTCAGTGATGGAGGGAGTGAAGAAGACCTTCTGCTCATCTCAGGATAAGTCAGGTTTGCTCTTACCAGGGTAAACTCTACACAGTTGGAGAGCCTGACTCAAGCACCCAGGTAGAATGCACAGAGTGACCTCATGCTGCCTGTGACATAAGACCAAGAATGGCGGTAGCTCTACCTTCATGATGGGGACATTTTCCTGGCCTGGCCTGAACTCCGCTCGGTTACACAGTGTTATTATTTTGGACAAAGAAGCCCAGGTCCCAGAACTTTGGTCAAAGGCTTGTTCTAGAACAGAAAAAGAACAGTGGTTAATGTGGGTGCTGGGCCTGCCCTGGCCCAGCCACACCCTTCGTTTAAGACCAGAGACTCAGGCAGCCCTTTGGCTCGGTCCCTGTCTTTGGGCTAGAAGCCTCCATAAAACTCACTTGTTTGGTTTTCGCTTGTATCTGCCACAAAGATCTGATTGTCAAACCACAAATGAGCCACAGTCATTCTGTTCTGGGTCAGGGTCCCCGTCTTGTCTGAACAGATGATGGAAGTGGAGCCGAGGGTCTCCACTGCCTCCAGGTTCTTCACCAGACAGTTCTTCTTAGCCATTCTCTTTGCTGTCAGTGACAGGGTGACCTGGCAAGATGGGGGGAAAGATACCTTGAGGACAATCAGTTTGAACTCCCGTACCTGGGACTGACTTTTGGGAGAGAGCAGGATACAGTTAGACCAGAGGCGATATTATTTATGACAGGAAGTCTGGATTAGTGAGTTGAAAGCCACCCCAAAGCTCTACTAACCATAATCTCAAAAAAAGATTAACTATAGAACACTTTGTCTCTTCTTTGAAGAAAGTGCTCCCGAAGTCCGCAGGCAGCTAAGATAGGCCATGGAGCTATGGCTGGAATTCATGCAACTCAAAAGAGAGCTCAAATAGCTGGGGTGTGGTAAATTACTTGCCTAGCATTCACGAGGTGCTTGGCTCCATGTTCAGAACCACAAAACAAAGCAAAACCAAACCAAACCAGGGAGTGAGACCTGGAACTTAACAACATTCTTCTCCTGTCTTTGGCTTGTCTTTTGCCATCGCTCGTGTAGTTATATGACTATCATGTGAGCCCTCTGTCCTACCCCACGGGCCTGCACAGCAGCTTGGGGAGGAGGGAGCTTTTGTCTAGGACTGAATTAGATGGACCTGGGTAAAAGAAGGCAGGAGAGCCATGGCTAAGTTTGAGGCTAGGTAAGGAAGGAGTTAACGCCTTCATAAAGAGAAGGTGTGGGGAGAGGGGGTTTTAGAAAATAAATCAAAGGAATGCATTGCCTCCAGAAATTCTATAAATGGGGGTTAAAAGCTCATCTTCTCTAGATGTTAAGAAGGTGAAACAACCTATGTGAATTAAGCTAGATCTGAAAATTTAGTTTCTAGGACAATGTGTCCAGATATTAGAAACATTACAATTCTTTAATGAAACCGTCTATTCAGAATGTCCCATGGTAGTCTCTGGTGTGTGTGTGTTGCTCTGTAGATGGGAGAAGGAGTGGTTCTGCAGCCACAGCGGTAGGTGCCAAGAGTGCGGGGATGGGGTGGGGGTAGTGGCGGTGCAGGCTACCTAGCAGCATAAACTCACAGTGACAGTGGCCAGGAGGCCCTCAGGTACATTGGCCACAATGATGCTGATGAGGAAGATGATGGCGTCAAGGACATAGTACTTCATGCACACGGCGATGATGAAGAAAATGACGCCAATGGACACAGCCACCCCTGCCACGATATGGACGAAGTGCTCGATCTCAATGGCAATGGGTGTCTTCTCACTTCCAACACCGGAAGCCAAGGAGGCTATGCGACCAATGATGGTGCGGTCGCCCGTGTTGATGACAATGCCAGTTGCCGTGCCTACAGGGAAAGAAAACATTTTACTCTGGGCTTTCTGCTCACAGCCTTCTCTGGTGGCCTGCACAGTGAGCCAACATGACAATACAAAGGCTGCCATTGGTTCTCTGGTCCCCTCAATTCTGAATTTCTTCTGGGAAAAGCTTTACAGCAAGGGACTGGAGAGGATGAAAACCTTGGGCCCCAGAGAGAGAGAGTTGATGCAAGTGAGACATGCTTCCCTGAGAGCCAACTGGTCTTACCTTCCAGGCACGTTGTGGAATAGAAGCCTATGTTCTTTGTTTCCAAGGGATTTTCATGGGTAAACTCAGTTGAGCGAGCCTGGGGCTCAGATTCCCCAGTGAGAGAGGAATTATCTACCTGGAAGAAAGTTGAAAAGTAATTCAAAATCAGCTATGTGAACCCCTACTTTTTCCTTCGTGGGGAGAGAGTGCCTGCTACCTCCCAGCTGGCTCCTTGAGGAAGATGCTCCTGGATACTCACTTTGCATCCTTGGGAAAACACTAGTCTGATGTCTGCAGGGATCTGGTCTCCTCCTTTAATCTCCACTACGTCCCCCACCACCAGCTGCTCTGCAGGAATGATCTTCTTTTCTGAGTCTCGGATGACAAGAGCTTGCTGTGGAAGGAAGTCATGGCAGATGCCTAAGCCCCTGGGAAGCACACTTGCCTTTCCACTGTCTGCACCTACGAAACCCCAGAGTGGGGGGCCCGGGACCCCTGGCTATCAGAGTGGTGAGGCTAAAACTGAAGACTGTTTCACATGGGTGTCAAGAAGCAATATTTTTCGAGGTCTGTAGTTGGAACCAGAAAGGTCTACCGTTGCCTGGCAGATATGAGATGGGGAAATTATTTATTTATTTAATATTTATTGGTGTTGGGTCCCCTGGAACTAGAGTTACAGACAGTTGTGAGCTGCCATGTGGGTACTAGAAACTGAACTTGAATCCTTTGGAAGAGTGGTCAATGCTCTGAACTATGGAGCCATAACTCTAGTCCTCTTGATGGGGGAACTTTAATGAGGGAGTACCCTGCTATAGGAAGCATCTCTTGTACCCAGAATCTTCCCTTCTATCTGATGGTTCTGCCATCTGGGGCCAAAGTGGTTTCCTAGCTATAGATACAATGATTCCTGGGAGGAGAAAGGGGCATTTGGTTCCCCACAGGAACATTTAGGGCAACAAACTCTGAAAGCAAAAAACAGTCACAAAATAGAGTAGATTGGATGGATCTCTTTGACTGTCAGTGAGAAATATTCTAGAACCATCTGAGTGACTGTCCAAAGTGGTTCAGAACACACTGTGCAATGACTCATGTTCTGTCCTGCTTTTCCCTAGACGGAGCATTTCCCTTGATCTCACTTTAGCCCTGTGACCCCCTCAACCCCCTCAACTAGGATCAGAGACATTATTCAGAAGTAATTTGCACAAGATAGGCCAGACAGCAAGAAGTGGGGTCAGGGCTGCCTCCTTACCCAGAATTCAGGAAGACACCAGAGCTGGGAGGCTCCTACTCACCTGGGGGATCATCTTACTAAAGCTGGCCATGATGTTGGTGCTTTTGGCTTCTTGATAATAAGCAAAAATCCCCGTTAAAATAACAACCAGGATAAGTATGGCGCCCAAATAGACCTGGGTGGGGATGAGAGGTCGCAGTCAGAGAAACAGATGGGGGTAGCAACCTCTAACCCAATAACCCCTAAGCTGAAACAGTCTAGTCTGACTACCAATGTGACATCAAAGTGCAAAAGTCCTGCCTGATCTCATGTGACCAGTCACAAATACAGAGATGCTAAAAGTAGTGCCAAGAATTACCTGCAGGCAATAAAGATGGGGCATATATATATATGTATGTATATATGAAGGAAACAAATTTTGTGCTAACATTAAGATATCTTGTTTTATACAGACACATATCCAAGCCCCTACCCCAATCTGAGATCTAGAACACTTCTTGTCACTCATGTTCCTTGACAATCGATCACTCTTTGCTCCTGTGCCCAACCTGGGGACCATGGACGTACCCTCCAAAGCTGAGCCTATCTGGTATTTAACACCAGTGACCTCCTACAACACCTAGCTTTTGGCAGCTGGTTTCTTTCTCTTAGCAAGGTATCAGCCAGTTCAATTCTATGGTATGAGCCAGTATAACTGCCCTCCATGGGAAAAGGAGAGAAATTAGCTTTGAGGAAAGAGAGTTCCAGAAATACTTCATTATTCCTCGGCTCCATTACAGACTAGGTGTTCTGTCTGTATTCTAAAATTCACACTTATATCATTAGAAAATGAAACATCCTTTGTTTCACAGCTGGGAGAATTCCTGATTTCCCTATGTTCACCACTGCCTGATGGGTGGTAGAATAGCTTTAGCCCAGCACTGAGAGCCTTGCTTAGTGACTGCTTCTCCTTGTAACCAAGTGGAGTCCAGGATGGTTGCTTACACTGTCAAGGGATGCAGAATCACTGACATACTGGATCACATATGCGATCCAGCACAAGATGGCACCTATCCACAGAAGGATGGAGAAGCCCCCCACCATCTGCTTGAGGAACTTGATAATCTCTGGAGTTTGCTTGGGAGGTGTAAGGGCATTGGGCCCATCACGAGCCAGGAGTTCTGTAGCTTTGATGCTGGAGAGACCCTGAAAAAGCCAAGAAAAACACACAGAGAAACAAACATTTGGTCTTCATGTTTTGTCAACTGCCCAGGGCCCTGGGAAAGTGAAGGATGCCTCATTCTCCCAATTCCCACTTTTTAATTTTTTTTCTTTGGACAAAGATTACTTTTGTTTTTATTGGTGGGGGTACCGTGTGTTTTTTAATATGTATACATTACAAAATGTTTAAATTAGGTTAAACACCTGTCTCCAAAAAGTATTTCATATTTTGAAAACTGTGCCGGTCCTTACACTCAGATCTTGGAAAGTCTTCTACATCTTAGCCAATCCTCTTTTTACTTTTTATTTTGTGACACTGACCTATAACCCACACTGACCTTGAGCTTGCAATCCTGCCTCAGCCTCCCAAGTGCTTTGAAACACACATGTGCCATTGTACCCGGCACAAACTCTCTATCATAGACCATATCATGTGCATATCCTTTCTTCCTAATTATGTGTAAGCTAGAGGCAATATCTCTTGTTTGTTCATTTTGGAGTCTGCTCTAGGATCCAATGCTTTCGCTAGGTAGTGACTTAAATATTTGTTGCAAAGCTGGATTCTGAGCTACTAACTCATCATTGCCTTTCACCTTGCCTCTTTTTTTCCCCAAAACTCCTTTTCTCAGCAACTGTTGAAAACTTACAAGGCAATTCTAGAGATATTTCTAATAGTACAGCCAGGCTTCTGCTCTCACAGATTCTGCCAACGGTAGGATTATCTACCTATTCTCACTGCCAGTCCAGTGTGAACCACATACAAGTTTTTTTTTCTTGTTTCCATTAAAACAAATGAATATTCATTTTCTGTCAAGGGGTTCAAACTTGGGCTAGAGAGATAGTTCAGTGGTTAAAATCACTTGTTGCTCTTTCACAGGACCTGGGCTAGCACCCCTGTGGTGATACACAACCATCTTTAACAGTTCCAGGGGACGTAATGCTCTCCTCTGGCCTCTGCAGGTGCTGCATGTATGTGGTTACATGCAGTCAAAACACTCACAAAATATAAATAAATAATAAATTAATAAGTGCTTAAAAAAAGAGGCTTAAACTTTTGAAATCGAACTTGAATTTGAATTCATAGAAGGAAGCAATATTGTGTAGTGAGGAATTTGTAAAGTCCTGTGGGTGTGCAGTGTGCTCTGGTTCCTTGGGCTCTCAGATGGAGACTCTGGGTCCTTTCTTTCTAGCAATGGCCTCCCCAGCCACCAATAAAAAGAGTTCCATGCACCATTTTACTTCATAAGCAGCTTCTGGCTATAACCTTGAGGAAAGTATGTATCATTCTGGGGACCACAGCTCCTTTGCTGTCTATTCCTGGGCGTCTAGCTCAGTCAAAGGACCTGGTTGGGGTCTTGGGTCAGACACGCCAGCTCCAGCAGCCTGAGTGGTTTATCTCAGGATCCAGAAAATGGACAGTTTCACAGGTGTGGCTCTAAGTCACTCATAGCCTACGCAAGCCAGCATTCTTCCTCATACAGTCAGGATGCTTGTCCCCCAGACGATCCATCCCCTGATGACTTACCCGAATGATGTTTGTACCATATTTCTGCTCCAGTTCTGTATTACTGAGTCGGTGATCATCCTGGAATTCACAGAAGGAAAGGGAGTAAATGGCCTCATTCCAAAAGACTCCACCCCAACTCTGACCCACTTTGAAAGCTTTGGAAGTAGCACAGGCAGAAAGGGCCAAGAAGGTTAGTGAGAAGCAGAGAAGTCTGTGCAGGGAGTAGAGGTTCTGGTGCAGGGGACCCTTGACTTGAATCCCTGTCCTCCACCCCTGTGAGCACATACTGCACTTGCCGTTGCCACCCAGGCCCTGTCCTTGGTTTCTATGAGCAATGCAATGGCTACTGGCCACACTCTGACCTCATGCAAGCCCTGGCATCCTCATCTTGTAGCTATGAGATAGTTGGATGCTTCACTCAGAGCTGGATGCTAAGGCTGGCCGAAGGTGATTGGCAAGCCCAAAGTACCCATGGGATGAGATCAGGAAGGAAGGGAAAGTAGAGTCAGGCACCAGTGGTTGTGGATGCTCTCGGCGCTCCTAAGAATCGGGGTAGCACAGGCTCTCCCTTCAGAAGGGTTAGTTCCAAGGCTCTAGTTTGCTGCAGAGATCAAGGTTCAAGGGCATCCAAGCATCATGTCACAAACTGAGGGACGTATGTGAGAGGCTTGAGAAAGTGGAGGGAGGACAAGAGGCTCCTTTCTTACAACGAAGCAGGAAAATGGGCTAATACCGTGGGAATGATTTTTCTATACAGTATTGAGAGTACTCTAAGAAAAATTTCCCATCATAATTATAGGGAGAGCTGAGCATAATGTCTGATGCCTGAAATCTCAGGACTCAGGAGGCCCGCACAAGAGTATTGCAATCTCAAGGCCAGCTGGGCCACATATCAAGTACAAGGTCAATCTGAACTTCACAGCAAGATCCTGTCTCCAAAGAGAATATAGTTTGATATAGGTAAAAATTTAAAATTAACAGGCTTATGAGAGAATAGAGGTATAGTCAAGCAGCAATCTTAAGGGAAAACAGGCATGTCTTAAATGCTAGAGACACACAGGACATAATAATTCTTTTCGTGTGTTATCTAGCACTGCTCTTGGCCTTGACCTATCTCACTTAATCCTCTCCAGAACCTGAATGGATAGGCATTCCTAGTTGCATCAGTCCAACGGTAGCCCAGCAAGCACTGGGCTTTGAGGTTGGCCTACAAACTGCAGGGATAATCTAGCTGAATCTCAGGCTCCCTTTAGCCTTCCTGAAAGGGTATCTTAACCTTCACATCCAGGGCAGCTTGTAAGAGGTCAGGTTTAATAACCCAAAGTCCTTCCTTCAGAGAGACTGACTTAAGATACATAGCTCATTTCCCCCTCATAGACCTTACAAACTTGTTCCCATTTTATATAGGGAGAATGGAGACAGGGGTGGTTTCCATGGAGCTAGCGTGTTTGTGCCCAGTTACAGCTCAGTCCTAGAAAAGGACTTAGATTTAGCCTGGTCAGGTTCAGTATTTCTACCCCGGGGCTGTTTTTCCAGGAACACATAAAACCTCACAAGGCCTATGGCTTTGGTTTTCCATCTTTGGAGGCTGTAGCTCAAATACTTTTACTTGCCCATGGAAGATTGGCACATAGTTATTTATATCTCAAGAAAGCAGCTGAGAACGAGAGGGATGGTTTCTGCCTCTTGGGCTTACAACGGAGGCTTTAACTCCCTGTCCTGTCTGGGACTGCCTCCAACCAGAGCACAGGCATTTGGCAACAAGGATGAGTGGCAGCAGGAGGACACAGGAGGACGGGACAGAATGAAGAAAGATATTATCACACTCTGGACAACAAACAAACAAGGAAGTTGGAAGCCTTCCAGGGTATCCCAAGCTACCGAGGCCAGTTTTTCTTTACCAGAGAGAGGGAGGTTATAGAGACAAGTTCTCAGTGGCAGGGGGCACCAGGCCCTTTCGCCTTCAGGGGACTGACCAGATCAAGCTCTTTCTTAAGCTCTTCTTTCTCATGACCCTTATTGGGTTCTGAGTCCTTGTTCTTCATCTCCTTGAACTTCTTGTCATCTCCCTGGTCTGTCTGATTGACATCTTTAGTTCCATTGAGCTCCACAGAATAAATTTCTAATGTTTTCTGGAAGAGAAGCAGAGATGCAATATTAGCCCCAGATAGGTTTTCTTGAGTAGGTGCCAAGTGGCTCCCAGAGGGTGAGGAGATGCCCAGATGGAATAAAAATGCTGGTCCCCCCTGCTCCCTGACTTGGAGAAGAAGTGGAGGATGGTGGGAAGCCTCCCCCCTCTTTCCAAAAATATTTCCCTTCCTCTCTGCGTTGACACGAGGCTTGATTGGCACAGTTCTGGCAGTATCTTTGCAAGGATCCTTTCTCTGGGATGGGGCAGATAGAAAAGTTAGCCAGTTTCCCTAGCACCTTGTGGGTCATTCCCAGATAGGTCGCACCAGACGGATCATCTCTTTTTCTTAAGGGAGGGGTGTAGTTCCAAACAGACTCTCTGTAAGCATGGCTTTTCAGAGCACCTTGCATCCAACAGAATCCTAGCGTCATCTCCAAACCTGAGCTTTCAGAGCAGGTGCTGTGTGGCTGGCTTGACAACCCTGGAGACCCTTCCTACACATCTGCACCAACTTCTATACACTGCCAGCACTAATTGCCATATATATTCTTGATGGCTGGGAGTGAGTTCAGTGTTAAGATTGCCCACCCCCTATTGTCCTGAGACCTGGCATTTCTTTTTCTTTTCCCAGCGCTTCCCGATGGTCTCCTAAGGGCCCCACTAGATGTGGAGGCTGCACGCACCCGGCGCATTCTGTGGATGGTAGTCCAATCCGCTGGTAGACGGATATGAGAGCACGGGATGCGGGAGTGCTGCGGTGAGCCGGGCTGGGATGAAGACGCGCGAGTTGCCTTAGTGGTACTCCAGGCAGTGATGCACAGAGGCAGTCCCGGTCTGGCGGTGGCGGGGGGCCGGGCGGCGTCACAGGTCCTGGTTGCTGAGAGGCGACGGTGACGAAGTTGGAGTTGCAGAGGCAGGCGCCGACCTGGACCCGGACCTTGCATGCACCTCCGCGGCCAATTGCCAGCTGTGGCGTGCGCCTTAAATGCAGCGCGCTCCGCCCACGTACCTGGGGCGACTCAGCTCTTTCGGCTGGGGACGCCCCTGGGGATGAAACCCTAGGGCGCACAGGCCTGGGTGGGGTGAGGTTGGTGGCCAAAGATCTAAGAATATTAAGGTGGGAGCCCCTCTTGATACCTGGTTGGGGGACACGGGGTCTTCCTTAGGGCGGGTCTGGAAACAGCTCAGTCACTGGCTCAACAGCAGTGCCACGCGCCAGGTGCGTGCTGCCCCCGTGTGCACCACGAGCGCTTGTCTGTCCGACCCCGGGCTCCTGGAATCCCAGGGGCACATCCACGCCCTGTGGAGCTTTTGTGAAAATCTACACCCACTTTCTTTAAAAAAAAAAAAAAAACATGCTGTTCTCTTACCAATAAAGGAATTTATAAAAGTGTGTAAACGGGGGAGGGGTTGGGGATTGCAGTTTCGATCAACAATTGTGACCTGGCAATAAATACCGACTCTAGAGAGGATTTGCATATAGATAGGTAAATGAGACTCTGGAGCAGCCTGGGCTAACCGCCGAAGACTTTAAGGAGTAGCTGAATTACTTTATAAAGATCCAGAAAATAAATAAAAATGTGCAGTTTTGGAACAATATTGGAAGAGAGAGGATAAGGGGGGCTAGGATAGGTGCAGGGGCTTTAGGAAGGCTACCTCAGAACTCCTTGGAGGAGCAGACTGCTGTGTGCAGAGCCCAGGTTTTGGGTGCGACTTTGATGACACTAGAGGATAGCTCTGTTTTTCACACCGCTCCTCACAAGTGCTTCTCTCTTGGCCCCCCTCCTGTCTGCCCTCACTTCTTCCTGTAGTCCAAAAGGGCAAAATTTGAAACCTAGGCTTTTCCTATTGTAGATCAGGAAGACAACCGCGAGTCCCAATTCTTCAGGGTTGGGAAGACTCGCTGTGTAGACACACTCCACAGATTCTTTGGTGTTGCCGGGGATTTTATGTTCTAATCCAGACTGGAGCAACAGTGGACTTCCGGAGAGTCTTCCCTGGTTCCTCCAGTGGAGGATGCTATTCGAAAGAAAGAATTTTACAGATAAGAAGGAAACACAAAATCTATGCAAAGCAGCTGTTCTACCATTTGCTTGGGTTCTGGAGTCTGCTCCCTGCTGTCCTCCATCCCCCCCCCCCCCCCCCCCCCGTCCCAGCTGTTCTAATCAACCTTTAAGTCTGGGACCAACCTAGGCTAGAGAAGTGAGATCCCAGAGAGCTGTTCTTAGTGCAAGGCCAGTATGCAGTTTCAAGAGAAAACACAGACTCCAGACTGGAGAAGAGGGGGCCTCAGAGAAAACGACACGATGGCAGGGCTTCAAAAGTAGTATTTAGAGTACTTAGAAGGTGGCTGGTTGTGTGTCTGTGTCAAGTGTGGGGTGGAATGGCATCAAACTGGACAACAGTTTCCGCTGTCAGGGGCTTTGGGACTTCCTGGGATTTGCAGAGTTGAAGTTCTGCTCAGTCACCGGTTCCTGCACAGTTCCTGGCTTCTGCCAGGGACGGTCTTAGCTCCTGCCACTGCCTTGGCCCTTGTGGCAGTTGCTGGTGTCAGGTAATATCTGGAAGTCTCGATTTCTACCAAAGAAGAAAAAAAGTGGAGCCATAATCCTTGCTGCTTCTAGTCTCCTGGGCATCCCTAGGTGTGTTGTGAGCACCTGGAGAGATCTTCACCTATAGACCTGGGTACTGGATTTTTCCTCTTAGGCACAAACGCCTCCTCATTTGGCTGGAGACTTTGCCCCATGGTATTCTGGGAAAGGGCTCTGAGAAACCTAGATCTGAGGGCCTTTTGCAGAAGGGCTGGTTTTGGAAAAGAACACTCTCAGGGATACCTTCTAGCAGAATTGCTGCTTGAGGCTGTAATTCCTGCCTTTCAGAAGAATCCCACCTATGCCGAGGGCCTGTTCCATTGACAGATAATGGAATAGCTTGCTACAAGACTTGGAAATAGTCCTAGCTTGCGCTTCTGAGTTCACTCATTCAGTATCTTACAAGGCATGGGGTAACAGCATGAAAATTGTATCAGTTCTCTGCCCTCTAGAGAGATTATGGTTGAGTCCCTGAGGTAAAATTAGTGAGGAAAATTAGTGACTGACCTAAGAGAAAAATGATTTAGAACTAAATGGTGTGTGTCTAAAACCATTAAGAGTTAAAAGAAATATCCATGGGTGCTAGTATGTTTTAAATGTTCTCCTCAAAGTTCACACTGAAATTTAATCCCCCTTGGAAAGTCTAGCTAAAGAGATGGGATCAGGGCTAGGGATGCAGTATAGTGGTACATTGTTACTCTCTTATACAGGAAAACAAGCAAGTAGATAAAGAAAACACGGAAGTGGGACCAGACATTGACTTTAAGAAGTGATTGGGTCATAAGGGCCTTCCCCATGAGTGGATTAGCCAAGTCAAGAGTTCATGAGCAAATCAATGTGGAAAATGGGTCCTGCCATGCATTTGGCTTTGTCTCTTCAATGTGCCCCTCTTGCCACACGATACGTTGTACTTCTTGGTTCTCTGCAGAGAGTCCACCACCATCACCAGGTGTAGCCTTCAGAATAATGAACCAAATTGAGCCCCTTATCTTGATAAATCATCCACCTTCAGGTATATTGTCATCACAATAAAACAGACCAAGGTAGGGGGATGGCTTGACATTTTATTGCTTGGCCTCCTTGGCTTTTCTTTTCTTTTCTTTTTGTGGTTTTTAGAGACAGGGTTTCTCTGTAGCTTTGGAGCCTGTCCTGGAGCTAGCTCTGTAGACCAGGCTGGCCTCGAACTCACAGAGATCCACCTGCCTCTGCCTCCCGAGTGCTGGGATTAAAGGCATGCGCCACTGCCCAGCTGGCTTTTCTTTTCTTTTTTTCTTTCCCTGTGATTTAGAATTCTTGTAGGAATCCCCCCTTCCCCTCTCACCACCTCTGGGCTGCAAGGTCTGGTGTCGAGGGCTGTTCACCATCTGGCTGTGAGGTGTGACTGAAGATTGAAATGAACAGGGAAGAGGGCCCAGGTGACAACTGGAAGAGGAAGCTTTGCCTCCTGTTTACATCCGGACAGGCTGGTGCCTCTCCTGCCCACTCGCCTTCTCCTTGTCTCTGGATGCCTCTCCTACACAGTGGACTGTCCCCACCCAAAACCCTCCCCACACACCTGCACCTCCTCAGTGTGCCAGGCTATGACTGGGCAAGCTTTTCTCTGCTGACCAGCACTGTCTGACGTTGAACTGAGAATGGAAAAAACAAAAGCAAAACAAAGCTGCAACCTAACACACCTCTGTCTGTGTCCTCATTTCTTCGTTATGGGAAATGCCAAGATTGGAATATGAACATCCTGGCAGGGAAGAAATTGACTCGTAAACTCTGTACAAACCCTGCTCAGGACTGCTAAAGACTGAGGCCAGAGCAAACAGTGGCATTAGTGGAAGCAGGAGAGGGCTGTCAGGGGTTCAGCAGAGCCAATGCGTTTGTCACAGGACACAGTCTCCCCTCCCTTGTGGATAGCTCCCCTGAAATGTAGAGCTCCTGGGACCCAGTGATCATTCTCTGCCATTTGGTTTCAGCAATAAGATGCCTTAAAATAAGTGTGTGTGTGTGTGTGTGTGTGTGTGTGTGTTTGTCTTGTTATTTTGTTTGAAACAAGATCAGCAAGTTCCTGTGTCTTAGTCTGGCCCGGAATTCACCAGGTAGTCTAGGATGGCCTTGAACTGCCATGATCTTTCTGTCTCAGGTTCCAGCGGGTTGGGGTTATAGGCATCAGTCATTATACCTATCTTAAAATAAATCTTATTTAAAGAGATGTTTTGATATAGGCAGCAAGATTTACTGGATTCCAACTGGTTAATACATCCACCTTCTCACATCATTATCTTCTTTCTTTTTCTTTCTCTCTCTCCCCCTTCTCTCTATCTCCTTCTCTCTCTCTCTCTCTCTCTCTCTCTCTTTCTCTCTTTCTTTCTCTTTTTTTTTTCTTTCGGTAATTAGAGCCCATAGCTACCTACCCTCTTAGCAGACTTCCAGCACTCAGTATAACTGTAGTCCTTGTCTTTTGCTTAGCTTCCTGGAAGTATTTTCATAAGTCATAGTCTTTGATGGTCTTCTCCTCAAGGCACCTTTCTTATTGCCCCAATGCAGAGTGAGTGGCTTCCCTTAAACAGTGACAGCCTCTTTTTTTAGTACCTGCCTTGGCTGCCACTGGAATCTTGCTTGTACTCTTTCCTTGTCATTCTGTAGATTAATACAAAACAAAACCTTTCTGCTTAATTCTTTGCTTTTTTTTATTTTACTGCAAATGTGGATAAATGCACATGCAAAACTCCAATACTCCTTCCTCAGCCCGAACACTTCTGCTGTCATGTTTCACCCATCAAACAAATCAATCCATTATCCTTAAGCGTAACTTCACATCCTCAGGTCCTGAGCAGGATCCTTTGCTAGAACAGCGTGTGAGTGACGTGTAGCCCAGCTCCTGATAGAGCCTTCTTCTCCGAGACCTCATGACCTGGGGCTCTACTGTCTTTATTTATCTCAGTATTCTGATCTTCAAAGTTGCTGCAGAATAGCTCATCTCATTCTGCTTATAGTGTCCCAGGGCTTTTCCAGCCCAAAGTTCTGAACCCTTCCATAAGTCTCCTGCAAAGCAATTCCAAAGGCCTTAAAACCACATGACCAGCTTTATCCAGTCATACTTCTGTTATACACTCATTTTCTGTATTAGTTACTTGTTTTGTAGCTCTGATAAAAATACCAGACAAAAGCAACTTAAGGGAGAAAATGCTTGGTTTGGATTATAGTTTGGGGGTAGCCACTTGTCAAACACTGACTCCAAAATCAGGAGGCAGAGCGTGATGAGCACCTGTGCTGAGCTCATTTTCTCATTTTTATTCAGCCTGGAACCCTAGCCCGTGAAACAGTGTAACAATAGTGTAACCACATCTAGGGTGTGGTTTCACAACGTCTTTCCACCTCAGTAAATCTAGGGAATCCCTCACAGACACACACACTCAGAGGCTTATTACCATGGTGACCCTAAATCCCATCAAGTTGACAATCCAAATTAACCAACGCAAGCATACCTGAGCTTGATGGTTAATGTTTGCCAACTTGATAGAATTTAGAATTACCATGGAA